TTAGGAAGTACAGTTGTGGAGCTGTAGGATAAGAATTGATTGCTAACCCTAGGGTCAATGGTTCAAACCCATCAGTTGTTCCTTGAGAACCTTAAACAGAGTCACTATGAGTTTGAACCTTCTTCTCAGTGGCACTTAACAACAACAACAGCCAGAATGCTGTTTAGAAGCAAGGATAGTGAGATTTACTTTCATGCTTTGAGTATGTTATCAGGAAGGAACAGTCCCTGGAAAAGGACATCATGCTTGATAAAAAAGTAGAAGGTCCACAAAAAAGAGGAAGACCCTCAAGGAACTGAATTAACACAGTGAATGCAACATCGGGTTCACACAGCAAAGATTGTGAAGAGAGCAGTGCTGCATTCTGTTATATGAAGTGACATGAGTCAAACTGAACTGATAACACCTACTAACAGCACAACAACAACCCTCTAGTAAAGGGCTCGTGAAAAAGAACTATTACATTATGGAGAAATAAAGTAGCTATCTTGTTCTTGTACATCTGAGTGATGTGAGGAATGTTCGGTCACACTACTTTTTTTTCTTTACTGAAATTATCTACAAAAGCTCACAGTCTCAATTATCAAACACGTAAGTACTGAACTTTAGATTTTCATTTATCTCTGATGTGTCAAATTATTAAATTATTTTGTCATGGGACTCACAAGATAAATTCATGAAAAATATCACAAAATAGAGAGTGCATTTGTGGAGGGCAAAACTCTTATTTAGAGTTGCCAAGTGCCTGTTCGACAAAACACACATGTACACCAGGTTGTATCTATAAAAATGCTTGATATACAATAAACGTTAATCGCTGTTTGTTTACCACATGTTGCCTTTAATTAGCCAACAATGAGCATCAATGTTTACTGTTCTTCAGTTTCTTGACACTTGTTTGAAAAGCACATTGATGCATATTGTGGTTCTTTGAGATTTCAAGATTGATTTTAATGTCCTAGAAGTTTTCAGAAAATAGATCTTAAATCTTTTTTACTTATATTGAAGAGAGTCATTTAATAGCCCTTGTGTGGAAATGTCTAGATTTTATTTCTCTGGAACATTTCTTTCTTGTCTAGTCTTCTAGATTTTTAAAAAAATGTTTTATTGTGAATTATATGATAGTTTACATGGGAGAACTTTAGTTTTGCATTCATTCCATTGTATAACATTGCGTTGCCATGGTTCCAATCCCCTTCATGCATCATCAACCACCCAAAGGGTATATCCCAGAAACCTACCCCTACACTTCCCACTTCTTCCCCCAGTTTTCAGCCCACAGTCCCTTTCCCTCTCTGGGTCCAAAGTCCCCAGTCGCTTCATTGCTCCATGTCATCATCTCTGTCTCTATCTCAGGCATCTGTTTCTCTGGGTAGGGTCCCGGTCTCGGCTCTTCTCCGTTGATGGTCCCAGAGGCCTCCGCTCCTATCCTGGAGAATTAATCACTCCCTTCCTTGTTACAAAACTTCTGCCTTTGCATTTCCAACTCTCATAGTCCGTCCTGATAAGCATTATTCCCTACAGTATCACGAGTTACCCATCTGTATCTCCTTACATCAGCTCCGCCCAGACAAATTGAATAGTACCTACTGGAGATTCTGCCTTCCGCCATGCTCCCTAGCACCAGGTTCCCTCTTGAAAGCTTGTAAGCCAGTCACTTCTTGCCTTTGTAGTCCCCCCTTCCCCATTTGAGTATCCAATGTCCAAGCTGCCCTTCTCCGTCCACTCTGTATGTGGGGGTATGTGTGAATATTTTTTGCTGTGAGAATTTTC